ATATATTCAAACTAGATTCAAGCACAGAGCAACTTCTTCAAGTTTAATCTTGGGTATTTACTATACATTAGAATATTTGTCTAGGAGTAGTATAATGAAACATGCTCCATCTAATCTGAAAAATTCAATTCCCATACAAGACACCACCCTGCTGTGCAAATTCATTGATTATCCGTTCTCTGTGTTCCTTCCTAGCTCCGAATTTGGGACATTATTCATTGCATTATAGATCTCCCCACAATTAACATGAGAACCAGTTGGGGGATAACACATATGAAAAGGAGGAAAACTTATAGCATACTAAATTATTGAATGAAGCTTTAGTTCAAACATTATGGGAATCAGAGGTGAAGATCATTTTGATTAGGGAGGACAAAGTGAGAAGGTAGAGGTCTTGCAGTTTGAATTGCACCTCTGGGAAGTAGTAGATCCTCAATCTCCAATGAAAAGCATGGCAGATATGGGCCGAGGTCCTCAGTTGGGAGGGGCAGGGTTAAATACACTTGTCTGTTTTGATCACCAAACATGCACTTCCTTTTTTTAAAAATAACTGATTACATTATCTAAAATTTATGGGGCTTGAACTCTGTCCCTGCGTTCATTAGCTCAAGGGCAGTGCTCCACCATTTGAGCCACAGCACCACTTCTGGTTTTCTGAGTCCAATGTACTTTCCTGCCCAGGCTAACTTTAAACTGAGATACTCAGATCTCAGCCTCCTGAATAGCTAGGATTACAGGAGTAAGTCACCAGTGCCTGGCATATACTTTTCATGGAACAATCAATATAGTCAAGACCTTATGATTTTATCTATTCTCAATCTTGTGATTCAAATATTATCATCATTACACCCCGTGATAGGTTAGAAAATTTAAATAGCGCTAAGAACTACCTAACTGCAAAACTACAGCTCTCTATTCCATCTGATGCATTATAAACTGTGATAAGATGAAGAGTTGTGCTCTAGAATGTTTGCTCCGGAAAAGGATCAGATACCTGAATATATGCATACCGATATACCCCTCAAGTAACATACTCCTTAAAAGACTAAATATTTCATTAAGACAAAGGAATATCCAATGCTGAGATATGTTCAATACAGGTTGGAGAATGGATATAAGATATGAGAAATCATATATCAAATACTCCAAAAAAACTATGGAGTAGGTATATTTCCTTTACATCAAAAGAACCAAAGAACAGAGATGATAAATTACCTAATCAATGTCATGTTGGTGAAGAACATCTGAATGTGGATTCCACCCAAGTCTGATCTATATTCCTTTCTCCTCAAGCATTTCATCTGAACAAAATTATCCAGATTCTCACATTCTTACAAAATATTCAGGAAGGTCACCTTAAGCCTCAAGTGCCACCTGGCAACTTGAGCCATCTCTCTAAATTCTTACTCATTTATAATCCCCTCTGAGTATTGCATTTTCTTCCTTTTCACTTTTTAAGCCTGTCATTCCCCTCAGAGATGACAAGCTGAGGAATGCTGAGGAGAATTCGGTAACACAAAGTCTGTAAATAGAAAAGTCTCCAGCAATGGACACAAACAAGTTCATAGGACACATCCGGACCCACACAAATCCAGCTGTGAGAACTTAAGCACAAAATACTGTGCACTCACACACCCATGTAGACCTGACTACTGTTGTTTACAAATAACAATGGTAAATAATAGTAATAATAATCAGTTAAATTCAGAAATGCAGACTCGCAGAAAGAGTGGCTCTATGTCTTATGACTTAATAATTTGACTCTTGTACATGTGACCAGATAAGATGATGTTAAGCAAAATGAACCCCAAGATAGGGACACAAGTGGTTTTTTTTCTTTCTTGCTATTGTTTCTAATGTATTTATAATGTACCATGTGATTTTTTTTGTTTCTTCCCCCACGGTATAACCCCTGTTTTCACTGTATTTGATGTCGGTGCCCTGCATCTTGTATATACACTTCTCTAATTTGGGGAGGGGAAGAGAAAAAACAAAATGCTTAAATAGGGGTACATCTCATTGTAGTAATGAGATGTACAAGACACTATGTTGAAAAACTAACTTTACAATTTAGGCAGGGGGGAGTGTAGTTGTGGAGATGGGAGGGAAGAGAGGGTAGGGGAAAACAAAGGAGGAGGCAACAATGCTTGATAGGAAATGTACTCATTACCTTGCTCATGTAACTGTAACCCCTCTGCACAGTATTTTTAGAATAAAAAAGTATTAAAAGCCCTAAAAAATAAAAAATAGTTTGACTCTTATCTTCATCCATAAACACAGTAGATAAAAGCAACCCATAAATGAGCAGCAGGTGCACTCATGTTTTCTTGCCAAGATATCTCGCTAATATTAAACAGAGCTGATCAGCCGAAGCGCACATCTGCAGGTTGAACTGCAGAAGGTGGAGGAGGAAGACAGGAGCAGACAGGTTAAGTGAAAACTCATCTGGCTCAGAGAAGAGCCACTTATTGCCTGGAGTTGGAAGGCTTCCAGGGGCTTATGAGGTGTGACTTCTCTGAAAGAGATCCAGCACTTTCTCACTCTTAAAGCGCTCTTATTTAATGGGAGGCTTGTACATGGATGCAAAATGATTTAGGAAAAAGACAAGCAATTGGTAAAAACGCTAATGACTCTTTAGTAGTGTCTGAGTGTTTACCTTGTATCAATTTCCCATCATCTCATCAAATTGATAGGATATGCATAGTGCATAAACCGAATGTGCATCATAAGGATATAATTTTTCTATAATATAGACATTGTACCGATAGATAAATACTATGAATATATAACCTGGATGTAGAAACAATTTTGAGTCTAGAATTACTTCAGTTATTAAGGACTACAGCAACTTCATGTTATATTTGGAATATTTTTCAGTTAAATAGATTGATTAATTGTAAGCACAAACATTAGAACACACATGGACACATGTGCATGCAGGTACACACACACACACACACACACACAGAGAGAAGAGCCTATTACTTGTCAAAGGTTCAACAGGTGTTTTGTCTATATAATGTAATATGACCAGTTGAAACCTTTCATTTTAACCAAATATGCCACTTACTTTTGTCCATTTATCTAACACCTCAGCAGAATTTAGTTTGTTCACATAGAAGAGGTTAACATATTTTTCTGTGGACTCTTAGATTTATTCTAAAATGTAAAATGAAGAGAAAGAAAGGGTAAATAAAAAACTAGAGCATGTCAGTTTAAAATTTTTAGTTAGCCTATTATAGATAAATACCAATAAAATTCATACTCAAAGTAGAAACCAACATTCTTAACATATATATCATCTCATAAAATAATCTTTTCTTTGTTGTACAGATAATCAGAATTCTCTTTTCTCACTATTTTGACATAATCAATAGAATATCATTAAGCATAGTCACTTAAGTACAACAGAACTTACTCCCAGTACAACTCAGACTTTGTAACCATGGAGCAATCTTTCTCAATCTCTACTCTCTGCCTCCCCCTTCCTGGGCTAAGACCATTATTATAATATTGGAATTTCATCTGACACCTGGTATTACTTTCAAGGTGACTGAAGGGAAGACAGTCACAGACATGACAGTGTGTCAGACGTGAACTTAAACTAGGAGAGATTTGATAAGTAGAAAGAAGTCTACAGGGGCTAATGATTTAAATGATTGAGGATAGTGACTTTTATGATCAAAACTACTCTGCCTTGAGTTAAAGTAAATATTTTATGCATTAAGGCTTAGAGCTTCAAAACTCCAAGAAAGAAAATGTTTCTCTATCATTTCTCCTACTTATAGAATTAGCTGACTATTGAAATAAAATAAAGTCTAATACCTTTCTGCTGCTAAATTTCTTCCTCTTCCTCTTCCTCCTCTCTCCTTGCTCTCTGTCCCATGCTTTCCTCTGTTCCCTTTCCTCTCTGTAGCTTACTGCTTAGTCATCTTTTGGGTGTAAGTAAACTTTGTACACAACTGAAAAGACATTCTCACAAGGCACTACATTAAAACACACTGTATAGTGTCATGCCCTATAACCAGCCAGATTTATTTCAATAATTACATTATGGATAGATATGGCTTTGATCATGAATAAAAGTATCACACATAATATCACTTTCAAAGGATAAAGTTACATGTAATCTTCTGAAAAGGCTTTAATAGCAAGTCTTTCTTGCATGTGATCCTACAATTCAGAGAAGTTCTAGAATGGTCTTGGGAACTCACTTATTTTGGTGATGCCAGAGCCACAGGGCCCCTGAGATGAGGGACCTAAGTATCTAATTACCACCCCTTGAAAGACATGAACAAAAATCTTTAATAACCAACTATTATTTAGTTAAACAACTGAGAATTTTTAGTTTGGTGCTTGCAGGACTTGGGTTAGCATGCCAGGTTATGGATATCCAATTGCTAAGGGGAAAAAAATCTTAATTTCTTAAGTTTTAGTTACCAAAATAGACCTGGCTTCCACGTTGACTGAAAAACAAGGTCCTAACATTGCTTAATGTACGAGTAGTATTTGAAATGTTGCCAAGACATGTTTGTTAATGTGTATTTTAGATATGAGTTGTAAGTACCCGATAAGGAATTCATCAAAATAATAAAGTGCTAAGAAGAAAAAATTATTCATTCAATTTTGAGTCTTCATTTTATAGAATTATCATGTGCTTTAATATTGCATTTTCTCCAAAGTCTGAACTCAAAACATTTGAAGTGCTATGATTATAATTATCTTACATTAATATGCCAATTCCTTCAAAAATTATACTGAATTGAAACATGCATGGTTTTAACCACTATAGAACTAATTAGGTTAATTAAAATACTATCTTAGTTTATTTTCACTTTTCAATTACTCCATTATCATTTAATGATTTTTTCACAAAATAATAGAATATATTATTTATTGAGTATATCTTTTTTTTAACTTAAACCATTACTTTTATGTTTAACTCCATTATAAAAATGTCAGTGATGGCCCGCCACGCCCTGTCCGCGTCCTGTTCCCCGCACCTCCGTACCGCCGCGCGCCCTGGTCCTGTCCTGGTGCCCATCCCCGCAGCACCGCACCACCAGCCATGAGCTCCACGCAGTTCAACAAGGGGCCATCGTATGGACTCTAGGCCGAAGTCAAGAACCGGCTCCTGTCCAAATATGACCCCCAGAAGGAGGCTGAGCTCCGCAGCTGGATCGAAGGGCTCACGGGCCTCTCCATCGGCCCCGACTTCCAGAAGGGTCTGAAGGACGGGGTGATCTTGTGTACACTCATGAACAAGCTGCAGCCGGGCTCGGCCTCCAAGATCAACCGCTCCATGCAGAACTGGCACCAGCTAGAAAACCTCTCCAACTTCGTCAAGGCCATGGTCAGCTACGGCATGAACCCTGTGGACCTGTGTGAGGCTAACGACTTGTTGGAGAGTGGGAACATGACACAGGTTCAGGTGTCGCTTCTCGCACTGGCAGGAAAGGCTAAGACAAAAGGGCTGCAGAGGGGCGTGGACATCGGGGTCAAGTACTCGGAGAAGCAGCAGCGGAACTTCGATGATGCCACCATGAAGGCTGGCCAGTGTGTCATTGGGCTGCAGATGGGCACCCACAAATGTGCCAGCCAGTCTGGTATGACAGCCTATGGCACCAGGCGGCATCTCTACGACCCCAAGAACCACATCCTGCCCCCCATGGACCACTCCACCATCAGCCTTCAGATGGGCACGAACAACTGTGCCAGTCAGGTGGGCAGGACGGCTCCGGGGACCCAGCGACACATCTATGAAAAGTGTGACAACTCCTCCATGTCCCTGCAGATGGGTTACACACAGGGTGCCAATCAGAGTGGCCAGGTCAGAGTGGGCCGCCAGACATATGATCCCAAGTATTGCCCGCAAGGCTCCGCGGCAGATGGCGCTCCACCTGGTGCCAATGACTACCCCAGGGAGGCCTCAGAATATGCGCCCTACTACTAGGAGGAGGCCGGCTACTGAAGCACCCCAGAATGCCAACTCCCCATTGCAGTACCCTGTCTGGGGCTTGGGGTTTTTATGGGCGTAGCTTTCCCTTTTCTCATTCTTTTTTCTGTGGGTGATTGGGGCTGCTTTGACCCATTCTGACAGGCCTTCCTTTGCAGGACTGAGCCCTGGGTAGATGTGAGGGGTCCATGGGTGGGGCATGTTACCTGGCAGCAAATTTCCCAGAAGGCTCTAAGACAGTAAGAGCCAGTTAGGGACCAGCCCTCAAATGACTTCATGTTTCTTCCTCTCTTGATCAACTTGTGGTTTCTATTGGGCAGAAGTTTCAAGGTAGTTTTAAGGAAAGGAAACTCTGTGTGTGTGTGTGCATGCGTGCGTGCGTGCGTGCGTGTGTGTGTGCACATGCGCGCGTGTGTGTTGGTTTTGTTTTAGTTTTTCAGCCAATATTGAGGTTTGAACTCAAAGACTGGGTTCTGTCTCTGAAGGTTTTCTGCTTAAGGCTAGCAGTCTACCACTTGAGTCACAGCTCTACTTTTGGCTATTTTATAGTTAATTGGAGATGAAAGAGTTTCGTAGGATTTCCTGGCTGGCTGACTTTGAGCTAGGATCCTCAGATCTGAGCTTCCTGAGTAGCTAGGATTATAGGCGTGAGCCACAAGTGCCCAGTTTCTTTCTCCTTCCTCCCTTCCTTCTTCCCTCCCTCCCTCGCTCCCTTCCTTCCTCCCTCCCTCCCTCTCTCTCTCTCCTTCCTTCCTTCCTTCCTTCCTCCCTCCCTCCCTCCCTCTCTCCCTCTCTCCCTCTCTCCTTCCTTCCTTCCTCCCTCCCTCCCTCCCTCTCTCCCTCCCTCTCTCCTTCCTTCCTTCCTTCCTTCCTTTTTCTTTCTTTCATAAGGTTAATAGACAGGGACGCTGGATAGTTGACCCCCGTGGAAGTTGGGAGGAAGTCTGAAATATCGTAGGCCTCTTAAGGACTGGGTTCCCCTAGGAATCTCCTGTGGACATCCCTGACCATTCCCAACAGCCTAGAGTTCTGAATGTTTCAAAGCATGCAGAGCCTCTCACAAGTGCCTCCTTGGGCTCCTCAGATCTTCCTGTTCTGAGTCTAACTAGCTCCACTCTGCCCTTCCTGCTCAATCTGCTTCCCCCAACCCCAGCCCAGCCCAGGGGCCCTTGGACTTTTCAGATAATGTGAAATACTGAGTGTGGACCAAAAGCAATAAAAAACCTCCATTTTTTAAATAAAAAAATGTCAGTGATGGAGGGAATGACACTGTTCAAAAAGAAATATACTCATTACCTGACTTATGTAACTGTAACCCCTCTCTAGATTACCTTTACAATAAAATCAAATTAAAAAAAAGCAACTGTATCCACATTGTGGTTTGGCCTAGTTTTTTGTTAGTTTAATGAATTCTGCCCCAGAAATTCATACCAACAAATCCCTCCTCATAAAAAAGTATTTCACAACCATGAAGTCCTTTACCAAAAAGGACTTTGTGTGTCTTTGCTATGCTATACGGATACTACATTGGGAATTTGGGCCAAGTAGTGCATCATCTGGAAAAATCTCTACAATAGGAAGGTAAGCCTTGGTCAATTTCTGAAGACAATGCAGATTGCAAAACTCTATGTTACTTGTCTTTGACAATTTCTTTCCTTCTTTAACTCTATAATTGCAATAACGTGCATGCATGGTACCTGTTTACATTCGCCAGTGTACAATGGCTGACATGTGTTTTTTGCCTGCATCATCTTGTTAGTTAATTTACATCTTTGGAGACTGATTTTAGAGGATAATTTCCACGGAAAACTTGATCACCCTTTTGTGGCATCTCTTCTGCTTGTTTCTGATTTCTCCACCTGATATTGACATATATGTGAGTATTTACTTGTGCCATTTACAACTCCAGACAAATGAATCTTTTAGGGGAATTGTCCCAGAAAATGTGACCACAAATCAAATATTGTACACACAATTTAAAGGCAAGAAAGATTATTATTTGTTCAAGTGAGAGGCCAGAAAAATTATCATTTGCTAATGTGTAGCTTCTCAGAATTCATGCTAGATAACAAACCTTTATTCTGGGATTCTACCCACTGTCTGTCCACTTCCACAGCTAAATCTTTTATGACCAGACAAACATGCAAACAAAGATAGAATTTGTTTCTATATGTACAACAGGGGAAGGGAATTAAGGACCAAGAAAAAGCTAAACAAATGAAGAGATATGAAGAAGAAACAGAAGAATTTAGATATGGCAGACTCCACAGCTCACTGTTTGACTTGAAATGTGAATGAGCAACACTGAGCCTGAACCTCATACATGTCTTCTAGTTCTGAGGGTTCTATCTTTAATTATGTGTGTGTACGTTCTACCTCTTGGCACCTGAGAGCAAATCAATGACTTCATCTTGCATTTAAATTGTGTTCTAGTGCTTCTGTGGGAACATGGAGGTGGCAAATCTCACACTGGACCGAATCAGAGGCAGTCCCTCTCTGTAAGGTCCCATCCCTGGAAAGTCCCTTTGATTTGTACATCATCTTCACAAACCTGACACTTTACTTGTTTGGGGGCTTAGTAAATAACTATAGGATGAAAAATTGAGCTAATACATAGATGATGCTTCTCATTATCATTTGCTTTTTCCTTATAAAAGCTTATAGCTTTTCGTGTTGTTTGATGTGTGTGTGTGTGTGTATTTCTGTTTCATTTTTCTCTCCAATTTAAGCAATCCTCCACCTCTATTCTTTGGGATAAACCTATTTTAAAGCTGAGTTATACACACTATCTTTCATGGGTTGTAAACCCAGGGAGCTTGAAAACCCTATGCTCTGCTCTGCTGCTTGAGAAAGCTTCTCAACACAGCCATATCCTAACTGAGCCAGAAAATGGTGGTTTGCATTCCTTCATAACTCAGAACAAGCTGAACACTACACTGCAGTCTGAACACAAGTACAAGGTGAGCCTACAAGTTGAAGCAAAAGGAAAAAAATAAAATTACAATAGGAGAAGTTAACTTCTTTGTTCTGTTCATCCCAGAATAACATATTAGAATATTATTTGCATCCTGTTCATGCCTTTCTTCTAACCAGATTTTTGGATGCTGTGTTAAATACTGATTTTATTATTTTATCATTATTCATTTATACATCCTTTGTAAAATGCTTACTAGGAAACTTATTAATTTGTATTTTGAGTTCACATAACCATTCATGTATTTGTTTATCCTCCCACAGATTTTTCAAATCATAATCTCACAATTGGAATTTTGGATTGAGTTAACATTTCAGATCAACCACGCTCAGTTTCATTGATTATCATTTCAGAAAATTCATGTGCTCTATTGAGGACTAACGTCTTTATAATTTAAATGCCAGAATTAATAGTTCATTCAGTAAAGGTTGGGTATAATAGCATTTAGGTTATTATTCTCTATAAAGTGCTGTTCAGCATAGAGACAAAAATTAATTTACCTATATGTCTCCAGCTAGCTTGACTCATGTAGCAGAACAATAATATGAAACCCTGTGAGAATTACCTCTGAAAATAATGTTTAGCTACTTTGAACTCTCTCTCACAAAGTTCTGTTTTTGAAAAGAACTCTTGGATAAGATGACACCAATTATGCTTTACATGAAAATGATCACTTGACCCTAACTACAAACAAATGGATCGTTTCCAACTGAAATACAAAAGAGCCCAAATCTACATAGTAAAGAGGATCTACTTAAGAATAAATTTATCTGCAGTATCTACTTACCACTGGATTTTAACAGGTAACTTCAAGTGTAGAAGAGCTCAACGTGAGAGTCTAAGTGTTTAGATGGAGAGTCAATCCTTGGTGAGCAGTGACCTGGAGACAAGGATTCTTAAGGCTTTGTCTCACTTAATATCTGCAATAACACCTTCTAGTATTACTGCCCCATGTACCCTGCACATAAAAATGCTTCTGCTCACAAAGTTTAAGCATTTTGTCCAAGGTTATATCCTAATAGCATTTAATGCCACATGTCTTGCTCTAAAAACCAGCTTTTGGGTTTCCCTCACTTGTAGTAACTAGAAAGTGCCTATAAATCTGCAAGTGAACACAATGGATGGTCAAAGATGAGAAATTATGCTTACACATGATAAATAAAACAGTACTCTAAACGTTCTCACAATGAGACCAAAGGATGATATTCTTAGGAGAGAATCACAAAGGCTCCATAGCCATGTGCATATGACCATATAAAATGACATTTATCAAAATGAACTCCAAGAAGTGGAAATGAGGATTTTTTTTGTTATTTTGCTTTTTAAAACTCCTTCGTTGCTGCTTTGATTTCTATACCTTTGTCTTATATGCAAGTTTGTCTGAGAGGGTAAAGGAGACTGCAGAAATGGTGGGATAAAGGGTGAACAAACACAGCAGTGATACTCCCCAGACTCTATTTTGAAAATGAACTATACAACTGTGGGAGGGGACATTGGGAGGGAAAACACTGGGAGAAAATGAGGGAAGAAGTGATATTGTTCAAAAAGAAATATACTCATCTCCTGACTTTTGTAACTTTAACTACTCTGTACATCACTTTTACAATAACAACAATGAAGTACTTTTAAAAGCCTTCCTAATACATAGAAGTTTTGCTCAAAATATTCTTGCAGTGTTTTCCTTATTATTATTATTATTGTATTTAAGTACTTGTACAAAGGAGTGCCATTTAACAAAGAAGTTTATGTATACAACGAATCTTGACAGATGTCCTCCTTTTCAATATTCTTACCTATCTCTCTCCTACCCACCCCCCCTTCCCTTACTCTTCTTAATTTTGGAATCTTGACTATATTAAAAATATTTTTAAAAATAATACTCTCCAATTAAGTGAAGAAATCCTGAATGGGAATGTTTAATATAGATTACAAATCATTTTTAATATAAACTAATATATTCCTGCATAAAAGCTGGATCACACTAAATTCACACTTTCCTCCATGTAACTACATGGCTCCTGTAGTGTAAAGAAATATTTTAAATCGAACCTTCCCCCCAAAAGCTCACTTTACAAATGTCAAACCACATTTAAGGAATGCTGTTTCCTCAGAGATAGTGAACTTGC